TTAAACAAAAGCAATTCACTTTTATTGCCATATTATTTTTTTTAATTGGCATAATAATACTTAATAAAATGTCATTGAACAATACACGTAATAGTAATAATTTCTTACCCACAGGGGTCTCGATTCTCATGGAGCCCATCCTGAAGATGATACCTATGACGGCTCTGTTCGGGATCTTCCTCTATATGGGTATCACTTCCCTGAGTGGCATCCAACTTTGGGACCGTATTCTTATGCTTATTATGCCGAAAAAGCATCATCCACCTGTTCCATTTGTCACTCGTGTAAGATTTATTTAATGAACATTATATGGACAAAAGTACACTGCTGTAAATAGTATCAGTCCACTTTTATTTTGAAAGAAATTAATGAATTTAATCCGCAAGAAAGCATTAAATTAATCAAAAGTGACAGTAAAGACATTTATAATGTTGCACATTATTTCTATATTAAATAGATACTGTTCTTTTGAGCTTTCTATTCCTCAAAGATTCCTGAAAAACATACGTCACAAAAACATTAAGCAGCACAACTCTTTTCATCATTGATAATAATAGGAAACGTTTCTTGAGCTGCAAACCATCATATTAGAATTATTTCTGAAGGGTCATGTGACACTGAAGACTAGCGTAATGATGATCATCAGTCATCAATTTTAATTCAATATTAAAATATAGAAAAAATATATATTTTTTTTAATTTTAATTGTAAAAATAAATCACAATATTACTGTTTTCACTGTATTTTTGATCAAATAAATGCAGTCTTGGTGAGGAGAAGAGACTTAAAAAACATTTAGAAACACTTACCAACCCCAAACTTTAAAGGGTAGTGTATGTACGTGGACATTAAACATCAAACCCAATAATTAGAAGGGAATGTCCACATACTTCTGGCCATGTTTAGTAAACTCATCTATTACTCCATTGATCCATTGATCTAACTACAGATCTCTCTCTCTCTCTCTCTCTCTCTCTCTCTCTCTCTCTCTGTTTCTCTACAGGTGCCGACTATGCGTATGCACCTGTACACTTTGATCCAAGTGATGTGTTTGGTGATTCTGTGGGCAGTAAAATCAAGTTCGTTTTCACTTGCCCTGCCCTTTGTCCTGATCCTCACGATCCCTCTAAGAATGCTCATGACCGGTCCCATCTTTACTGCCATGGAAATGAAATGTGTAAGTATCTCTTTTATAGCGTTGAGAGAGAAGAAATGTACATGCACTTTTCACCCACCACGTCTTAATAGAAAAACAAAGCCACTTATCTGTATAGCCTATGATAGACTGTCATCGTGTTGTACATATAATGTACTGAGATTTATAATAATTATACTCTCAATTGTATTAATAATAGATTGACAGAAATATTTTACGATTTAGCACAAGAACGTTGCCATGCTTTCATTAATTACAGTCATTTCATTTTTATCTAGTGTTTATTTATGACTGCATATTTCATCCTTTTACAGCTGGATGCAGATGATGCAAACGTGAAATTTGATGATGAGGATGACTAAAATAACCCCAAAACTTCATTGGACGTCTTTCTTGATTCTTGAATCCAAGCCACTATGAATTCATCTTACTGTGTGCATTACATGAAAATCTTTTGCTTATATTTTTATCTGTTGTACATTCAAATTTTAGCTGACCAAATCTCATTGTTTCTTTTATAAAAGTTTTAGAATGCAATTAATGCACACCTAAATTTCATAAACTGTTCATATACATTCCATAGTTATCACAATATTTTCTTACTTGTACTTACTTTTTCATAGAAAAAAGTATTTTTTCATCTTTTATATAATTGTTGTGCTTGTGTGCCTAATAAGACTTTTTTTTTGCCAATTTGGGATTTATATAACAGTGTTTATTTATTTAACGTATTCAGAGTTTAATGCAAAAAAAAAATCTTATGCCAGTGTGAAGTATGTCAACCACACACCAGCTCGAATGTAAATCCCAACCTGCTTTAACAGGTGATACCTATGCAAAATGTGCCTTTATATTTCCTATGAGAATTTCAGGGACTTCATACCTGTAAATATAATAGGCTTACAAATGCAGAATGTTAGCTATATAGGTTAATATTGCAAAGATTTAATACCTTTGAGTATAAATGAATAGTTGAATAGAATAAATGAATGAATAATTTTATGTGTGCTTGGTCTGTTATGCAGTGTGACTTTGTTTAATGATTAAAATTCTTTAAAACTTTAGCAGGTGTTTATATTTTGACTTCAACCCTTACGCTGTGTTGAAGACCCTAATACCTTTTGTATTCCTGGTCAAAAAATGTCAGGCCTTTTAAAATTGCTTGTAAATCGATCGTTATGCTACACTTACCTAAAGGATTACGAACACCATACTAATACTGTTTTTGACCCCCTTTCGCCTTCAGAACTCCCTTAATTCTACGTGACATTAATTCAACAAGGTACTGAGAGAATTCTTTAGAAATGTTGGCCCATATTAATAGGATAGCATCTTGCAGTTGATGGAGATTTGTGGGATGCACATCCAGGGCACGAAGCTCCCTTCCACCAAATCCCAAAGATGCTCTATTGGGTTGAGATCTGGTGTCTGTGGGGGCCATTTTAGTACAGTGAACTCATTGTCATGTTCCAGCATTATCCTGCTGGAAGTAGCCATCAGAGGATGGTGTCCATAGGGATGGACATGGTCAGAAACAATGCTCAGGTAGGCTATGGCATTTAAACGATGCCCAATTGTCACTAAGGGGCTAAAGTGTGCCAAGAAAACATCCCCCACCACCACCATTACACCACCAGCAGCAGCCTGCACAGTGGTAACAAGTGGTATCCATATTCTCATTCTGTTTATGCCAAATTCTGACTCTACCATCTGAATGTCTCAACAGAAATCGTGACTGATCAGACCAGGCAACATTTTTCCAGTCTTCAACTGTCCAATTTTGGTGAGCTCTTGCAAATTTGGTGAGCTTTTTTCCTATTTGTAGTGGAGATGAGTTTTACCCAGTGGGGTCTTCTGCAGTTGTAGCCCATCTGCCTCAAGGTTATACGTGTTGTGGCTTCAAAAATGCTTTGCTGCATACCTAGGTTTTAACTCTTCTACCAGCTTGAATCAGTCGGCCCATTCTCCTCTGACCTCAACAAGGCATTTTCACCCACAGGACTGCTGCACACTGCCCAATTATTTTTTAAACTGATTTAAACTTAGGCCTCATTCTGAGCCTCATTGATCTGAGGATAAAGTTAATCTCTGTGAAAAAGAAAGCCTATATAATACTCAAAATTGTTTGTGTGTATGTGACACATGTAAATATGTGAACATGAACATGCTCATGAACACTAAATGTTTGTTTTATTTTCGATCTCCCCCATTCATTTTCAATGGGTGGTCATTTTTGATCAATGAGGCCTATTATCAGTCAGTTTAAAAAATATATACAAAACCTATTCTAATTTAAAGAGAACAATGAGAGATTTATTGGGTATTTTTGCATATGTAGGAACAAGGCGAAAAAAAACAAAACATGAAAGTCGTAAAATGATCACAAAAATTGGGGAAGTAGTTTACCCTGTGTGAGTGAAGTCGGTACGTTTTAGTCCAATGTGATAACATAAACTAATATTTTCGTAATAGTTATATAAACTAATACTATAATATAGTCTTTGCTCACCAAGGTTGCATTAATTTGATCAAAAACTAATATTTTATTATAATTTAAAACAACTGTTTTCAAATCTGTTTTAAAATGTAATTTATTCCTGATCAAATCAGAATTTTCAGCATCATCATTACTCCAGTCTTCAATGTCACATGATCCCTCAGAAATCATTCTGATGTGATTTGCAGCTCAAGAAAGATTTATTATTATTATCAATGTTGAAAACACTTGTGCTGCTGAATATTTTTGTGGAAACCATGATACATATTTTTCAGGATTCTTTGATATAGAAAGTTCAAAAGGAATGGAAATAATTATATATATATATATATATATATGAAATATTATATATATATTAATACTCCGCAAGCTTGGGAGTTCTTGAGAGACTTCTAGTTTAATCTCATCTTCACATTAGGACTTCTCAGGAAGGACCAAGAGAGAGGCTAAGAGACCAAGCGCAAGAGAGCTAGACTTGTGATCAGTGATTTTTAAGAGCGTGAATATGTCACACCCTCTGAAGGTGCATGAGCCAATACGAAGCCGTCCCTTTGTAGAGAGTTTTTACAACCCTTTGTGTTCTAGCAGGGCATTTAAATGTTTCATTTCATTGGGTGTTTACAAAGAGAATCTACAAGATTCTTATAATACTAATGTGTCATAAAGTTAGCAAAATGTAATGTAAACAAATGGGGTAAGAAGATTGGAGTTTATTTCTCCTTCTCAGCAAGAATTAACACAATTCCCTGCACATTCTTTTAGGGTCATAAAACTCATCAGTCTCAATATGAAACAGGAAGCCAGTGTGTTAGCTAATTTGTGATGTTAGCTTTTTTTTTTTTTTTTTTTAGCTTTTTAGTTTCACAGACCTTTGTTGGGAGAGTGTGTCTGATTTTTGTGTCTGATTGGTCCATACCCTACACTAAATAAAAGTAACCCAAACATCTCATCAGGATTTCAATTTATATGTATCCCCTATTAGGTCTTAGTGAAAGTTTACTTGGAAGATGATTCTACATACTGCCACATATGTTTACATATGGTGTCAGTGCAAGTGTACTAGAATTGCAAGCCACACTGATAGGTCTGTGGTGGGAGTATAAAAGACAGAAAAGCACTGGCTTATATTCTCAGAGGCAGGAGTGCTGCTCCACACTGGACTCTGGCATTTCAGTGAAATGCGCACGTCACCGCTCTGATGTTTAACGAAGCAGCGCGCTCATTGGAAAATCATGTTTTCTCCAAATCAGAACGTCTTGATTGGACATCACAGGTGACGCCCACAAACAGACAAGGTGGAGTTTAATTATTTAACGTGACAAAAAGATGTAGCTGTCAGACTGAAAATACTGAAAAGATGTTAAAAGTACACAACAGTTCACTCTTTACTTAATGCATGCACTTTGGGAGTTTAAATAAAGGGAAGAATACTGTTTTTCTTTTCTTTATTTTATTTATTTTTGTATCACGGGTTAACATACTAAATCAAATTCACTTCTTATAATAAAACTTTACATTATCATCACAAGTGAAGAAAAAAAGTGTTCAAAACAAGCTCGAAACGGCACACGCGCGTGCAGGTTTGATGGCGCCTCGGTAGCTCGTGACAGCAGCTCCGAGTTTATAATCCAAATGGAAGCGAAACACGGGCGACCCATCCGTGATGAGAGCGGCGAGCAGGCAGCGGAGAGATTGAAAATGTGGATGTCGCCTTGGAAAGAGAAATGAGCGGATCGAGAGAGCTGCGCGCTGACTGGAAGGAGAGCGAGAGAGATGGAGGCGGGGGGAAGTCTCTCTCAGCTCTGCGGGGACTGGAGCGCCCGTGCCCTGGACCGGCGGCGCAGTGCTGGCTAACAGTCAACCCTCCCCTTGTTCCACCACCACTTCCACACACAAGCAGCGACAGGTAAGATCAAACCAGCGCCTCATCCTACCGACCGTTTGGTAAACAAACCTTGAACACATTCTTAAATGAAACGACAAAAAGAAAAAAAAAATCTAAATATTTTGACTTTAGTGGATCATTGGATTGGTTAATTTCGTTTGTGTTTAAATTCTCGTTGACTTGGTGCAAGGCAACGGTTACATTCCGAGTCGCCTTACCCGAATTTCCCGTAAAAACATTTCCCGTTTATATATCAAACCCTTTCGCCGTGTTTAATTTCTGAATGTAACTCTAAAAGCCAGTAACCTAATTTTTAAGCGCGATAAGGGCACCTCTACCCTCGCGGTCGTCTTCATTTCCGAGTCAGGACTCCATGAGGCTCGTGAAGGAAAGAAACAGCCGCCTTTGGTTCGCCATCACGGAGCTCGGTTATCTCACAGTGTGGGCTATTTTTCGCTTTTGTGAAAGCAAATTTCGCCATCACATTTGACATTTTATCGATTATCTTTGATTAAGGAGCAAACCGGGTGAGTTCAGAACCATTCGCTCTGGTTTTTCTCTCGGTGGTGGTGAATTGCACGCAGCGCGTGCATGGAGGGTAGTATGGCGGCTCTAGAACAGTCGTCACGCCAGGGAAGCGTCCTCTTCTCGGTTGTTACAATTTTCCATTGTGATTGTGAACAAAATGACATGTTTATTCACAGGATTGATTCATTTCTCACTGAGTTGATCTCGACTGTCATAATTGTGCTTCAGTCACCGCTAACTAAATACAAGTAACCGTATATTTCTTCCATTTCTAGTTTCGAAGCCTTTGAAGAGCCTGCTGCCCTGCCATACGGCCGCACAACCGTGCTTTCACCCCGCATTCCTCGTCACTCGAAAGTCGGGGTAAACAACCAGATTTCTTTACGGTAAGAGGACTATTTGGACACCGTTTAGTTATTTTTATATAACAACATGTTATAAGGATTGATTTTGGCTGTATTTTTTTTGGTGGGGTTTATTTTTGACGACTGTGGTTCAGCTCTCACCAAGGCTGGAGGGGGATTCAATGCTAGTTATAGCCTGCTAGCTCCGGTGTAGGTCAAGTCATAGGTCGGTTTATCATTGTAACATTTTATTTGATTAAATGTAACGTTAGATTTGTAAGCTATCATTTGCAACAGTTCCACACGTAACGTTAGACACATACACTATCAAAGCTATTTTTGAGTTTATAATCTAAGTTGGGTAAAGCAGAATTTATGCATTAAACAGCACCAATTATATACAATTTAGGAACATTTCCACAGCAACTTTAAACATTATTTGTAAATTGACCCTTATATATACTTAAAACACAAACTTATTTTGACGCATTTTGCCTCGAACCTAAAGCCCCGTTTTCAACGCTTTTGTTAAAAAAGCGATTCAAATCCACAAAATAGTTGTTGTTTTGTTCCTCAGTATTTCAATTGTAAAGCTCAATTATATTGTTATGATTATCCACTGATTCGGAGCATTTCATCGTGGTAAAAATACCCTTCATCCAGGGTCTGTTTTAAAGCTGGACTCTGCTGGCTCACGCGCCGCCATTACACATTCAGCGAAGCGGCGACGCCTCGCCCTGGAACAAAGCTCGTGCCATTTTGTGACTAATTCAGTCGGCTCACACATTTGCGAAACGACATCAGATTATGACTAGCCCTCCGTGTTCAACCATTTTAATACAGTCGCTGTGTGAATATAAAGGGGGGCGACCCAGAATGTGTCCGTGGCGGAAGCGGAGACCCGCGCCCAGTTGGTTTGGAGGCTGACTCTGGTGCTGCATGCTTTAGCAGTCACTCATGATGATCCCTGGCTGTGTTTCCCTCTCTCGACGGAGACCGAAAGCAGATCCCGATCCGTGGTCAGCTGGTCCGTCTGCAGGCAGCTGCCTGCCTATCGCCCAAAATGCTCCTTCCTCCTCCTGTAGTACCTCCCAGTATCCACTCGTCTGCCGAAAATATAGTCCATTTTCTATCTACTACACGAAACGCTCGCCTCGAAAAGCGCACAGAGTGCAGGAGAATCCGTTTCAAGTCTTAGTTCAGTAGACAAAATGGATGATTAGAAGGACTGGCTTGCTCTTGCTGGTGTCGACTGCAGAGTTATTTGAGATTTGAAACCGTCGCAAGCAATGGGCTCTGTCTCACGATGGAGCGTAAACGCTAAGGGGCGGTGTAATGAACATCAACCATTATGTGTCGGGCTGGATTTTAATTCCACTTTTCATACAACAATTCCTAGTTTAAAGAGAATTATTGAAAGCATAAAAAAACGTGGAATCTACTTGAGTCAGAAAAAAATATCACCACATGAATGATGCGCTCTTTCTGTTATTTAATTTTTTGATGCAGCATAATTCATTATTATTAAAAAAATGAAATAAATTGAAAACTATTTAGTGTTAAAGCCATGTAAGTATGAGTTTCACCCTTTTACCTCAACTTCTTGTAATCCTTAAAATAATTATTTACATTATTTGTTTTTCTCTAGAGTGATTAATCCTGACAATGAATGGAGAAATGGACTCCTCTGCTAAAGAGATCGGTAAGAAACATTAATCATTTAGATCAGTGGTTCTTAACTGTTTATGATTATTATTATTATTATACATTTATAGTTATCACCGTGCGTGAACAGTAATAAATGTAACTTAATGGAAAAACAGTACAAGAAAATTGTGGATTCTAATTAAATACAAGTGAGCCTGTATTTAAAATTTGTGTGTGAATTGATATTTTATTAGTCTGCATGAAGTGATATACAGGTACTCAGACATCATTTTTGCCCTATTATTTGTTATTGTTACAGTTTGGGAGCAGAGTGACCTGTTGAAGCTCTTGGATGCCATGAAGGTGAACCTGCCAGATAAGGATCTGTCCAAGTACAAGACGTCCGAGTCCCATTTGGACTGGGAGAAAGTGGCTTTTAACTCGTACTCTGCGGAGATGTGCAAACAGAAATGGCTGGAAGTTTCACGTGAGGTATGCTAGTCAGTGATCAATGTGTTTCACTTATATGTTGTAATGACTAGAGAAACATGCATCACATGTGTGTCGAAAGAATTTATGTTGATCGTATTTGAAATATTTGATTTTTTAAATTAGTTTTTAGTTATAGAATCAGATAAATGCAGTTGTCACATTAAGATTCCTGTTCCTGATTCAGATACGTAAATTCCGCACCCTCTCTGAACTGATCGTGGATGCACAGGACTATGTCAAAAATCCATACAAAGGAAAGAAGCTGAAGGTAGAAATTCCTATGGCTCAGTCCTGAAAGCTTGGATTAAAATTTACAGATTTTGTCCAGTTTGTTATTTGGAGCAGCAGAAAATGCTAACTTTTTGTCTATTTATCTTCTGCAGAAACACCCAGACTTCCCCAAAAAACCATTGACACCGTATTTCCGTTTCTTTATGGAGAAGCGCGCCAAGTATGCTAAACTACATCCAGAGATGAGCAATCTAGATCTCACAAAGATCCTGTCCAAAAAATACAAGGAGCTCCCAGAGCGTAAAAAAGTGAGTGCAGAGAAATTGAAAAGAAAAAGCATTGGGTCTCTTAGCATGTTTAAAAGTCCACCAGTATGTGATTTTTGCATTAGGGGTTTCAGTTGTTCATACATTTTAGAAGGAAAGTTGATTTTTTTTTTTGAAAACTAAATGCAGACTGCATGCTGCAATGCAGCTACATGCTTAGTAAATTAGATCCATTGTCTGTATTAAACATTTTTCATGAACTACTATAAAATGGAAATTGTAGTTTTTATTTGATTTTTAAATTTGGAAATTGATATTATGGGGATATTGTAATGGTACATTAAAGGTTAAGAATGAATTTGGTGTTCAGTTGATTTCAAATCTGTTGCTGCTCTCTTGTTCCTTTGAAAAGAAGCAAATATTTTCTATTTGGTCTGGATCAGCTATTGTTTTGAGTAGTACCTTTCTAGATCAGTCAACAAGGCATGCATTGTTTTGTCTGACCTGTTTGTTCTGTCTGCATCTGACGTCAACAGGAGAAATACGTGAAAGACTTTCTCAGAGAAAAAGAGTCTTTCATGATCAGCATGATGAAGTTCAGGTGAGTGACTCATTGAGACTTTATCATCTAATTTACATTTCGAAATGATCGCTTCTCTAAAAAAGTGTTTATTTGTGTTTTATCAGGCAGGATCATCCCGACCTTCTAGAGAACGTTAACAAGAAGTCCAATGTTCCAGAGAAGCCCAAGACACCCCAGCAACTGTGGTACAGCCATGAGAAGAAGGCCTTTCTCAAAGGACGCCCAGATGTAAGCTCTACACACACTCGCTCTAGAATTTGCTGCTGACTTCTTCATACACATGAAGGCTGTAAAACACTTGTGCTTATACTCTCCAGGCGACCACCAAAGACATCAAGGATAGTGTTGCAAAGCAGTGGCCACAGCTGTCAGACAAGAAGAGGATGAAGTGGATCATGAAGTCTCTGGAGCAGCACAAACTGTATGAGGTAAAGATGCTTGCATTATCCACAGCCTATTTGCCTGTAAGTAGCAAGCTTCTCTGTAATTTTTGATCTTTCCCGTATTTGTTTAGGTGACAATGCGCGAGTTTATCCAGCAGCACCCAGAGTTGAACATCACGGAGGAGGACATTGTCAAATCCACTCTGACCAAAGCAGAGAGACAGCTCAAGGACAAGTTTGATGGGCGGCCCGACAAACCACCTTCGTACGTTTTTGGTTTTGTGGTTATCTTCATTATGGTTTTTAATATGTTTTAGTACTTAAATACTTATTTCAGTTACAGAAAGTGTTTTTTAATAGTTTTATTTAATGATAATTTCTTGAATGAGTTTTTTTTTTTTTGTCTCATTCTGTTTTTGTTTTGTTTTTTCCTCTCAGGAATGGTTACTCAATGTTCTGTGCTGAGCTTATGTCCAGTATGAAAGACGTCCCCAGTACGGAGCGCATGGTCATGTGCAGCCAGCGCTGGAAACTCCTCAAACAGAGCGAGAAAGATGCTTACCAAAAGCGCTGTGAACAGGTTTGTTACACACTCTTATTTTACACCCTTCCATCTGTTGATCAACCATCTATTAAAATAAACAAGCCAACATGGATACATATGGAAGATTTTTGTCACTTTAATATTAATTTTTTTTTCTCTACACAGAAAAAGAAAGAATATGAAGTTGAGATGAATCGCTACTTATTAGTAAGTATACGTTTAACAGACCCTGAGCTCTGTTTTGAAACAATTTTCGGTTGTGCTTTATTTTAACCCTCTGATGGTCTTCAAAAAAAGTAACAATTCCAGTCTTCGGGGTCTATTGGACCCCAGACAATAATATTTAATTTTGTAACAGAATAGTATTTTTTTTTTTAACAAATATAATTTTACTCTGTTTATTAATGTTTTTACTCAACATTTGTGTAGTTTTTGGAGGATTTATGATTTTTTTATTTATTTCTATAAATAAATAAATAAATATTTATTTAAATAGGATTTTTACCAAAAAACAGCATTTTATGTTAAATAAACTTTATAAAAGACACAGATTTCTAACTTTCATTCCTGGGGATACCATGGATAATTTTACAAGGTTGAATGTAAGATTTTTTGCCGAATTTTTGGAAAAAACAGGTTAAAATTTGTAATAAGTCACTTTATCCACTAGATGGCTATAGAGCTCCACTAGATGGCTATAGAGCTTCACTAGGGCTATAAAGTATTTGAATTACTGAAAGATATAGTTTCTAAAGTTGGATTCAGTTGGATTCATATCTAAATATTGTAAAATCACACTTATAACAAAAATAAAATACTTTTTGTCAAAGTTTAGCCTTTGTTTTTGTACTGAAAAAAACAACAGTTTTTCAATAATGTTACATTATGATTAGAATCAAACCTGAACATGTTACAAAGAGAAATGTTGGAGTCTTAAGATTTGATCATTTATTTCAACTGAACAGCAATAACAAATTGGCAAATAAAGCAGTAAAAAAAAAATAATAATAAAAATAAAAAAAAGTAAATTGGGTAGAAAATAGAATAACTAGGAACAATAGTTTGGAACAATAGAACAGATGGTCTCATCTCTTTTATTTTTTTTATAGCCTTACAAATGTATTCCTGTGTGTGTGTGTGCACATTTTCAATGTGTCTTAGTGTTACCAATTTATTTTTGCGGTGGTTCTGCATTTTAGAGTATTTTATTTTACAAATGATAAGCGAATAGTTTTTATAGTCTGTATGTATTCCTGTATATTGCATTCCTCTATATGTGTGTGTTTGTGTGTGTGTGCATGTGTGTGAGCATGATAATTTTGGATTGTGGATGTTTTTTGCATTGTTGGAAGTGTGCCACTTAATTTCTGTCATTTCTGTCTGTGTTCTGCGTTATTTCTGATTTTGATGATGAATTGTGTCTATTTTGAGTCCAATGATAAATAAATATTTATTTATTAATTTATAGATATTTAAAAGATATCATAAATCCTCCAAAAACTGCACAAATGTTGAGTAAAAACATTAATAAACAGTCAAATAATATTTGTATACAAAAAAAAACTATTGTTCTGTTACAAAATTAAATGGTATTTTTTGGGGTCCAATGGACCCCAAAGACCACGAGTGTGACTATTTTTGTCACGCCTACATAAAAACAGATAGAATTCCATTTTAATTTTTTTTTGTATATCTTGACAGTGTTGAGAGCCGTAGCAAGTTTCATACCATTTGGAAAAAGAGAACATTTTTTTTTTAATTCAAGCAAAATTCATTTGGGGTCTAACAGACCCCGAAGACCATCAGAGGGTGTCTGTGTTACATTGTACATTTATACATTTAAGTGCTGAGTAATATTAAGTAACTACATGTACTTACTTTATGGTTTGCTTTATGGTTAGTTGCATGTTATAATGCTTAATTTATAGTTATTAGAATAGTAACTACATGTAACAATGACACTGTAAAATAACATATTACCCAATTTGCTACTTGGTTTGCATTTTAACATGTTGCCTGTGTATCCCAGAGTATCTCAGAGGAGGAACAGCAGAGAATAATGTCAGAACAGAAGATGGGCAGCTTTAAAAGGGGCGGTGGTGGCAGCAGCCCCGCTTCTAAAAAGAAGAGCGCCACTGCAAAGGTTAGTTCACTTGTCAATCATCTTTGGGATATTGAGGGATTGTTACTTAAATGAGCTTACTGCCACTTGAACTTCAATCCCTTAATGCCCTTCTGTTCTTTTTTTTTTCTCTCTTTATTAATTTTAACAGTCTGCAGAGAAGCCCAAGCCCCCTGTGTCTGCAATGTTCATTTTCTCAGAAGAGAAGCGTCCAAAACTTCAACAGGAAAGGCCTGATCTTTCTGACATGGAGCTCACCAGACTTCTAGCCCGCATGTGGAACGAGCTTTCTGACAAGAAGAAGGTAATAAAGACACAGAAGGATCATAACATCTCTGGATCACTAATATCACTGTATTGACTAAATTGTTTTTAACTTGAATGTCTACTCATTCTTAATAGGAGAAGTATAAAAATCTGGAGATGACGCTGAAGGCAGACTCTGAAAAGCAGAGCAAAGAGGACAAAGGGAAACTACCAGAAACACCCAAAACAGCTCAGGAAATCTGGCAACAGAGTGTCATTGGAGACTATCTCGCCCGGTTCAAGGTATGAAATCATGCGTGCAAGAAGTTAAATTACCAAGTAACATTTCTTACTATTATCGTTATCGACTTTTTGATTAATAGGAAGTTAAAGAGAGACTTTTTTATTTGTAATAGAAATATTTTGTAATTATAAATGTATTTTTCACCAATTTAGTGTGTCCTTTCTGAATAAATCATTAATTACTTTTTAAAAAAGAGAAAAAAATCCTGCCCTCAAACTTTTAAATGGGACTCTATGCCTAGTTTTTTTCTTGAACAGACAATATGAAGCAGTCCTGCCCACCAATGGCTGCACAAATATTTCTACCATAGAAAATTGTCTTTCTAATTCTCTATTTGCTATGGTTTTCTCCACTGATCTCTCCCTCTTCTTTAAATGTCAGAATGATCGAGCGAAAGCTCAGAAAGCCATGGAGGCCACCTGGAACACCATGGAGAAGAAAGAGAAGATCATGTGGATCAAGAAGGCGGCAGAGGACCAGAAGAGATATGAAGTGAGTCTAGAAAAATCCAAACAACATTTTGTGACAGCCAAACTACAGTTAGTTAGTACAGTATCTGATCATGTTTCTACAACCCTTTATTCATTCTTCTGTTTTATGCAGAGAGAGCTGAGTGAGATGCGATCACCTGCCCCAGTCTTTATCATGGGGAAGAAAATGAAATTTGATGGGGAACCTAAGAAACCACCCTCGTAAGTTCATTATGTGTATCTGAGTGTTGGTGTGTTTGAGGAAGCTCGATGTTTCTTACCTTCCCACTTGTTCTAATCGTGTTCTCTTCATCTGTGGCAACAGTAACGGCTATCAGAAGTTTTCTCAAGAGATGCTGTCAAATGGTGAGCTGAACCATCTGCCCATGAAAGAGCGCATGGGTGAAATCGGAGGCCGCTGGCAGCGACTCCCTCAGAAAGAGAAGGACCATTACAAAAGGATGGCGGAGGAGAAACAGAGGCAGTACAGAGTGCTTCTCGAGCAGTGGCTTGCGGTACCTCATATCTTTATTATAATTTTAATTTTAGACCAACACGAATTTGAACAAGTTTGTGCATTTTGAATTCAAGGATATTAAAATGATTTTCTCCCTCACAGAGTATAACACCACAGGAGAGAGCTGTGTATAAAGAATATAACTCACTGGTAGGTCATACATGTGCATGTATTTCACTCTATCTGCTGAAAATATACATTAGTGCTGTCAATTGATTAAAATAATTAATTAATCGCACATTTTTCTATTAATCTCACCTCACATTAAAGTTTTTAATCTTTTTTTTTATTGTAATAATTTTATATTTATTCTCCAAATTAATGTAGAAACAACATAAAGACAGAAAGAACATTTTCATTAAAGAATGCCAGCATAACAACTTTTAATTTAAATGAACTTAAAGTTATTGTTTTCTTTGTTTTTGCCCCATGTGACCTTGTAAACAGTTCTTTAAGATTTTCAGGGCAGGAATATATACAGATATTGAATAAAGTTATGAAACTCCAGTCTTAACTGCATAAATTATAAATCAAGTATAGATCAATCCTTATTAAAGCTACAAAAGTTATTCAGTCAAGAGCAGTGAGAGTGATTTTCTCTTTCTTTTGTTTTTTGATTATCCTTAATGACAGACAGTGGTCACTTTAAGACCTGCATCACACGACACGGATCTGACTTGCATCCCATTTTCTTACAACTCTTTACGTTCATTTAAGACTTGTTGTGATGATACTCAACAAAATGGGCATTGTGGCATAATTTTGTATTTTTGCTTGTTCAAGCGCTGTCTAAAGCAGCTTTCTGTGTGCACGAGTCATGTGTCACGTAGTTTTCTTTAAACTAAAAAATCAATCGCATGCTTTAATTGATATTAGGGCTGTCAAATGATTAATTGCATCCAAAATAAAAGTTTGTGTTTACATAATATATGTGGGTGCACTTTGTATAATTATTTTACATGTATAAATACACACACATGCTTGTATATATTTAAGACATATTTTCATGTAGATACTGTATATAGATTTATATTATATATAAATATCAAAATTTTAAATCTAAATAAATTTTTTTTCTTAAATATACATGCATGTGTGTGTATTTAAATATATAAAAAATAATTATACAAAGTGCACCCATATATATTATGTAAACACAAACTTTTATTTTGGATGCGATTAATCGTTTGACAGCCTTAATTGTTATATATTTTTATTTCAACTTAATATAAAACTTGTGCCTCTTTAATTCTTTTTCTTAAACTTTTCTTCTTCAGAAACGGAGAAGCACAATAAAACCTGGTGGCACGAATGCTAAAGTGAAACCCAAGGCCAAAGTATCGGTGAGTTTGATCGTAGAGTCTTAAATGACTCTTATTTTTTGCAGCATGTACTGATTATTCTGTATCGTTGGTGACCTCGTCCAAAGGAAGACGAAGAGGAGGAGGATGATGACGACGACAACGATGATGATGAAGAGAAGGAATCTGATGACGAATCATCCTCTGACAGTGATGACGATGATGATGACGACGATGACGAAGATGATGTAAGAGATTTTTTTTTATGGACTTTGATTAGTGTTTAGGGGTGGGCAATATGACATTAAGTCTTGTTTCAGAATATGATCTTTTTTTTTTTACCAATAACTATACATCACAATATAGTTCTAGTTATTTTATTTTAAATTAAGAACAGAGAAGCATATTACAAACAATAGGAAACTATATGAACTATATTTCAAACAATATGAAATTCCATGTGTTTTTTTTTTTTTTTTTTTTTTTTTTTTTTTTTGAAGAGTGTTCTGAACTCGTTAAATCATGCAAATTTCATTACTTTCTCATTCATGCATGTTTCTGTCACTCTAAAGTGTCAATAACATAGTACTGTGCTATGTATATATATATATATATATATATATATATATATATATATATTTACATGCTGCAATATCAATGATTTAGCAAATTCTCTAACTTTAAAGCATGATAATGCCACAATACATATAGTCATACCGCTGATCCCTATTAGCAATACGAATGCATTTGTTAATCAGAAAATATTTGACTGAAAAATCTTTCCAAATTCACTTTCAGAATGAAGACATGGAGGATGAAGAGGTGGATGATAAGGAGAATAAAACAGAAAGCAGCAGCAGTGCTTCCAGCTCTGATTCATCGGGTTCAGACTCGGACTGAACCAAAGCCGAGTCAGCCTGAGCCCACAGACTGCCAGAAATGCTGTGAACTGAGCCATGAGCCGGGGGTCTGAGCCTGCTCTGCACTGCGCTCTTCCCACCACAGGAGGGGGCTCACCCCGCTGTCACACATCTGCGCCGCCTCACACAGTCTTTTCCTTCTCTACTGTTCTCCCCTGCACTTTTGGTTTTATTTGTTCCTCCCTCCATGATTTTGCTTGGCAGGTTTTTAGGCATTTTAGGCAAAACACATGATGACTCATTGTCTAAATTCCTCCTGACACCACTGATCACAGAAAAAAGGGGTTTAGTGCTCTGATATTGGCTTGTAGTCGTCATGAGGTGTTAAGATGCCCCGTGTTTATACTTTAAAGGTAGGAAGACCGAGAGCATCAGGTGCCATTTTTTTTTTTCTGTAAGTGAGCCAAAGAGTCTTTTAGTTTCACAGATTATTTCGGGAGGTACAGGGGACCAAATAATTGCACTCTGAAGAATGTCTGCTTTCTTTTCCTCTGTCTGTACCTCTCCTGTTCTTCCTAGGAGTGTTGCTCCACTCCTTTTCCTGCTCCCTCCATTTTTGCTTTGGTGTTTGTTTTAGCTTCTTCATTTCAAAACAAATGTGGTATTTTCAGGAAAAATGAAGCCATTTTGAATGTCGCCCCATGGACCTCGTTGGTCTCGCACTCGGTTCTTGTTCACAAGGCGTTGGTGCGTTGCTTTTACCTGCACCTGATGAGGGGTTAAAGGTGAAAATGGACTATTTATTTTTGTCCTGTTATAGGAATGCTGCCCGTTGCAGTTTTGTGATATGGATGTGATGAAGCCACAGCAAACGGGCTATTCATTCAGTTAATAAAAACGACTGATGTTACATAATGAGGACTAGTTAATCGGTTAATTGTTCTGCAGCATAAGCAAAGTTCTTTCAGAAAATTGCTTTTGTTTTTTGCGGATTGGGCACCAAAATGTTGTTGTTGTTTTTTTTGGTCTTTTGTTAATAATGGTTACATATTGTTTGAAGCTGACTTTTTTTTGTTCCTCTTTCCAACCACTGTTTTATTTGGTGCTCCAAAGATTTTTTTTCTTTTTAAAACGTGATTGTTATGTTTTAAATATGATGGATGTGAGTTACCCCACAATTCAGTGCACTTATGATAGAATCCAGTGTTCTTTCAGTATTTCTCTTTCTTCATTTTACCCATCAGTCCATAACGTTAACCACTTCACAGGTCTTTCACGCACCAGCTCAAGGAATGTAATGGAGATGTTTTATTTAAGAGAGGGGTATTGTTAATGTGTTGTGTGTTTATGTATATATGAGCAGTTTTGATGGTGAGGGTATATTCTCTCATTTCAATATCCTGGCCTAAAATGGCAACTTAACTAATTTGTAACCCACAACACAGCTTTTTGCGCTGAGCTACGACCTTTTACTTAGTCTTTTTTACGCAACCCTCAAATTGACTGGGGCACTGTAAATTAATTTTTCATATCAAAATGTTCAACCCTGATGATTTGCATAAAAAGACGGGCAAATAATTTTGATTTGGTGGGGATTGCCGTGAAAAATTTGCTGTACCAGACTTGTAATCTATTCTAGTGCCCTACATGATTAAGGCCTATATTCTGCATAAAGTTCTTGGCTCAGTTTGAAAAACATAATTTGGTTATAGATGATTTGAATGATGGGCCGGGATCGACCTTTCAAGATTTGTTGATATTTTGTAGGATTTTGAGACTTGCAAATAGACTTGGGTTGGGTTCAGTGCTGTTGTAAGGTATTTGTACATATAGCTTTCTTTCTTAATTATTTTTTCCTTTGTAATGAGTGAACATTATTATGTTTGTATTTTCAGTTGGCTACGCAATATACTGCTGTAGCCAAGACGAGTTTGACAATTGGGGACATGTTTTTAATTTGGTAAGTTTTAGTTATTGTTTTTTTTACCCCTCCATGTGTTTGTTTATTTTTAGAAATGGCACACATAAAAGAGAGAACAAGCTTAAATTTGTAATACAGATTTGAAACATTTGGACGTTTTCTATTAGCAAGAGATGTTATATCCCTGCAATTTACAATTTGAGCAAATAAACCTTCTCTTAAACAGTTGTTCTGTTTCTGTTTTATTTCCTCTTATTTATATATATACATACATATGTATGTGTGTGTGTGTACATATATATATGTATATATGCATGTGTGTATGTATATACACACACACACATGCATACATAAATACACATACACGCATTAATAGGAACTAATTCAAGGCAGCAGAATCGATGCGTCACCTAAGATCGGTATTAGACTAGTGATGCCTAACCGGAGCCAAAATGGCAGCGTTGTTTTATTTTCAAACATCATCTGTACTCGAGTGACTTAATCAACCAGGGATTTAATCGTTTATAACATTTCCATTATCTTAAGATAACATTTCCATCATCCATTATCTTCCCAAGTACGTTCGTTTTGAGCATATTTGTTCCATGTCGTCTTTAAGAGAACAGCGGGTCTGTGAATGACAAGAACCGGCCCGTTCAGTCTGGGTAAGTAGAAACACAATTTAAACGAGTAGCGCGAGTCGCGACAAATATGCTTTACAGCGCGCGGCGTCAGTTAATAGGCTACTTTGTTCCACATTTTCCTGTGGGTTTGAAACAATGTTGCCAAAACCCGCCTGTGTGAACAGGGCAGTGCTCTAGTCGTACCTGTCAACTATGTTACATCGACAGTATGTTCAACTGTGTTTAACAGTTATTAGGTTTACATACGCAGTGTTTATTATCTGGACTTGTGTTTTTCTGGATAATTGCAATGCCCGCCCATGTTCACACAGTATTCCCACTTGTTGAGAATAGCAAATAATTAATACAAAAAAAAAAAAAAAAAAAAAATGAGACGCGTGTTATGAAAGGGACGTTATAGCCTTGAATTTGATTGTAAGAAGAATAAAAACAAACATTTAATGATTAATAAACAATTTACGATGTGCACACATTATCATGCTTTAAACGCCTGTAAAAAGTGTTTTCAAATGCTAACATCTTATTTCAATGGTTGTTGGTATATTTGACTGTGATGCAATGGGATTTGTGTTTTTCAGTGTTTTCCACCCCATTCTCTATTGTCGACAATGAGAGATCCTCTACAATAGTTGTTGCAAATGAAAATGGAGGATATGTCTCTGTCAGGCCTGGATAACACCAAGGTGGAGGTAAAGGATTAAAGAGAATGGGTCTCATTATGAAACATGCAGAACAGTTATATAGTTAACTAAATTCCTAAATAAATACTGTTCATCTGAATGCATCTGTTTACAGACGAATAGTTTAATCCAAGCTCACCACTAAAAATCACATTGCCAGAGACAAAAATTGTGTGTGCGCTTTAGCCCCGGCCCTAAAAGTAGTCTGTGCCATAATATGGTTTCATATGATCAGTTTAACCCATATGATATATATATATATATAAATTTTTTTGTAGGCCTTGGCTCATGACGTTTACACTGACCTAGTGGAAGATGCCTGTTTAGGGCTGTGCTTTGAGGTGCACAGGGCGGTCAAACAGGGCTATTTCTTCCTGGATGACACGGACCAAGAAAGTATGAAGGATTTCGGTTAGTCAATCACACTGTAACACAAAAATACACAAATTCATTATTTCTAAAGCCATGCTTTTGAAATGTGTCACTAGTTTACTGTATGCTCTCATATTGATATAGAAATAGTGGACCAGCCAGGTGTAGACATCTTCGGTCAGGTGTACAACCAGTGGAAGAATAAGGAGTGCGTTTGTCCCAACTGCAGTCGGAGTATCGCGGCCTCTCGCTTTGCTCCTCATCTGGAGAAGTGTCTCGGGATGGGCCGCAACAGTAGCCGAATAGCCAACCGCAGGTCAATGGACTGTGAAGTCACACTATTTAGCTCACTTATACATCTAAACTAACATGAACAAAGGTTAATACATGCTGTAAGAATATATTGCTCATTGTTAGTTAATAATGCGTTAAGTAATGTTAACAAATAAGTGTTTCCTTTAAAGTGAGTTTTTCTCATTAGAAATGCATAGATATTATTCGAAAAAGGGAATGCTTAAAGGAATATTTGACCAAAACTATTTAATCACCCATATCATTACAAATCTTTTTCCTTATTATTATTTTTTTATTTCTATATAATTTTGTTTAATTAACACATGCTGGTGGAAAAATATTAAAAGTTGGCTGTGGGGGGACACATTTCTAACCATTATTTTTCAAAGACGTGGACTTTCTGCCAGATGGAGAGATTTTATTGTCCCCTGAGGGAAATTTCTAGTGAAGTTTTAAAGCATTGAATGCTCTTTTTACAGAATAGCCAGCAGCAACAACACAAGCAAGTCAGAAAGTGATCAGGAAGACAATGACGATATCAATGACAACGACTGGTCCTATGGTTCAGAAAAGAAAGGTGAGCTCACCCAGTTTGTCTTTCTTTTTTCCCTCACTTCCCACACCACGTTTTGCCTCCAAATGTGCCCCGTTGTTTTATTTTATTTAATGAAACCTTGATTTCAATAATCACTAATAACAGTTTATTAACCTTTTATTTTCACAGCCAAGAAGAGAAAGTCAGAAAAGGTAAACAACTTTTTTTGAGACATGCACTTGTTAGAAATGCAAGCCAAATATTCTATATTATAATACGTTCATTTTTATATTTTTGTAAATGTAAAAACAATTATAATAATTAAATATTGAAAATGGTATTAAAATAAATCTTTGTGTATCTTAGAATCCAAACTCTCCTAGGAGATCCAAATCCCTAAAGCACAAGAATGGTGGGTTTTATTCCGATTGGATTTAGCAGTTGTTTTATCCACTCAGTGCACTATTTGACAGACGTCAGGCTTCACTTGAACATGTTACGAGTGTCTTTTTGTTTCACTGCAGGAGAGCTCAGCAGTAGTGTAAATCCAGACCTGTACAAGGTGAGATGGTTCGCTAAAGTATTTTAACATTTATAACTTTGGTCATCGCTTACACTGTTGCATTAAAAACTATAGTATTACAGCAATTTTGTGTAACTTTCCCTCTCATGTAGTATAACTACAGCTCTGGCATTAGTTATGAGACTTTGGGACCCGAGGAGCTGCGATCCATACTGACCACGGTAACTATTTACCATACAATATATTTTTCTTCCAAATTAAAAATAAATGCTAACAAAAATGTAGAGTAGAGTAGATGCTCATCAGTTACCTACACATTGTGTTTAGGCTTACAAATAAAAGTTGTATAATTAACACATCGTTTAATTATTAATTACAGTGGAAATAAAATCTTCATTTAATTAATCTTCAAAAAACAATATTCTTAAAAATAAATGTCTAATTTTGTTTATTTATGTAATATATCTTCTATTTCGACTCTTCACATTTTTTTCCAACATATAGCTGTTTAAGTTTATAATGCAGATAAATTGAGAAATACAGTATACCTGACACCACAATACTTGTATTGACAATTTAAGTTTTTTGTGTTTTGTCAACCTAAATTATTTTATATGGATTCAGTGGTAAATATGTGTAAAGTGTAATCAAAATTTTCTCTATATTAGTGAGAAAGATTGATAGATTGACCATTCACAATTATTAGGATCAGTAAATGTGGTAAATGTGCTTATTTGACCACTTTTCAGAAGTTGTACTTTCCCCCTTCTGTCATTTTCAAAACCTACCAAAATAAAATTTCAGTGATTTATTTACTTTTGTTAATATTGTTAAGTTTCAGTTCAGCTATCTTGCCTGCTATCATTACATTGTATTATTGTATTTATTACGCCACATTGGTCAACCTCTACAGTTTCCCCCTTGCTAACAGGCCTTCTTTTTCCTCAGCAATGTGGGGTTGTATCAGAGCACACAAAGAAGATGTGTACTCGGTAAGAATTCAATCCATATTTGTGAACTAATAACTAAAGGAAATCATTAAAAAAAAACATCTGTGATTTATTCTTACAAATGCACACTGTGGTACACTCAGTCTACTGACATTTTGAGCTTCTTTCCATTACCTTATTGACAATGAAAGAGCAGTCACCAAGTTTGTTTTTCCTTGGCCAGCAGAAAAGTAAGTATTTTTCCACAGCAGGCATATTTTATGACTATTAGGAATAAAAACTTGCTACTGAAGGCTGAAACATCTGTGAAACCAGTCTATGAGATTTAAGGGCTTTGCACATGCTTAAACTTGGGTTAAAGTCTTTTTAAAACTCTGTTAACTGCTTTTAACCTTGAATTAAGCAACATTTAAATGGAGAACTGTTTATAGCCTATTTTATTTCTTTGAGTACATATGAACATATTTGGATAAAAAAAGGAGGAGTAGACTGATTTAAATAGTCAGTGAAAAAATCATTAGATCATTAGAATAAAATCATTAGAATGACATATATAACAGCAAGAAGGTAAATAAATGAATAAAATCAAATCCTTTTGGAGTGAACCATCCCTGTAATGAATTCTGTGTCATGTGAGCAGAAGTAAGGTGAACGGGTACAGTCGTGGGTGTAGTTTTTCACTGTTAAATTTTAGTGTGTGTGTGTGTGTGTGTGTTAGTTTTCACCATTAAGTGTGTGTGTGTGTGTGTGTGTGTGTGCTGCTTTAGAGACAAAGATTGATTCTGCATGTGATGTGTGAACACATGATCATTTCCATTTACACAATGAAAAAGATCATGTTATGTTGGGACTGATTTTAAGGAACACAACTGGCAACTCTATATAAACCCCAATTTTTTGATTGGTGTCCACTTTTCAGTTTTCTTACCAGTGTCATTTCAATTGGACATAAGAGTATGCTGTTTCCCAATTAGATGGTCATAGGTTTTTTCAAAGCACTGCCTGTTTTTACGAAGCAAGAGACTTTTTGAACATCATCCAGCACTGAAACCCCTTTCCCTAATTGCTAATATCTAACCCTAGAGCGTATTTGAATCCTGCTGCCGGTGTTCACCTAGTCTCTCGCCCCGTCATTGTCTCTGGTGCAGTGCGTAATGCCACGTTGTGTCCTGGCAGGTCCCAGCGGTGTCCCCAGCACACGGACGAACAGAGGAGGGCAGTCAGGGTCTT